TCTCCCTCACCTCCACAATTACTTTCAATTCCCGTGTGTGGTTTCATTTGTGATTATCTCCTTAATAGCATGAATATTCTCCAATTTCTTAGTTTTTAAAAAATCGTATTTTTTTACTTCATACAATAGAAAAAGATCTATGTTTCTATTACTACCTCCACCCCAATCTCAACCCCTTTTCGTAGTACACTCCCATCCTCATTCTTACAACTTTTCTTTTTTTTAAACATTCAGTGTGCTGGGGGAGGGATCTAGAAATTTCATAGCTCTTCATTTAGGCTTCTAATTCATTCTCCTGTTTTCAGCCCTAGTCTTCAAGCATGTCAGGTGCCTCCAATTCCTGAACTTTAACCAACTTGTGTCTTACTACTTCTTGAAAATGAGTTCTGGCTTTTCCTGTTCCACTGAGTCAGTTACCACTGATCACCTTACTTCCCAGCTTCAAAATTTGTGCTAATGTCTTGTCTTTTCTGCAGCCTCCTGGCCTGTTCTTTTGTACTTGTTGGCTTATGCCTTTAACCACAACGAAAAAAATCCTGTATTGTCCTTTTAGTGGGATATGGGGAGAGGGGACCTGAGCAAAAGCAAATGAAATGTTTTTAAAGTGCAATGTTTAAGGAGAAGACCTTAACATTTTCAAATAGAAATTTTACAAGAATCGTATTACTTGATCTTCATAACAATTCCAAAAGCAGGCAGGAAAACAAAGTATTATTTGATGAACGAATGAGCTATATATTATCTTCGTCTTACATACGAGGAAACAGGATCCGAGACACAGTTTAAGTAATCTATCAAGAGATAAACAGCTCATTAGTAGCAAAATAAAGACTGGGGCTTAAGTTTTCTTATATCTAATCATCTTCACAGGATGCATTCAAAATAAGCAGTTAGGATTTAGGGTAACTTCGTTATACTCAAGTATGAAAAGCTACTTCCAGAATGACAGAACCCATTCACACTCAAAAGTTTTCGCAGAGCATCCCTAACCTAAGCTCAAATCTAAATCCTTCTTGCCAAAGGATGCTAATTCTTTTCACATTCATTAACTCATTTCTCCCAGGAGCAACTTCTGGTATCCAGCCCATTCTGAGTTTAATACAATGAACTCTGAAACTAAACTCTCATAGTTCTAGAGTATGACACAAAGACCAAAAAACCCAAAACTATAAAACACATATTATGTATTTATATGCATATTATTACATATTACTTTCAAATAATTTTTAAGATAATTTTTTCAGACTTGGCAATATGATCCTGAAACTTATCTGGAAAAAAGAAATAAGCAAATCCTGACCCTGGCTGCTCAAAAATAAAAAAGAACCAGCTCCACAAACTATTAAGACATACCATAAAACTATAGTAATTAAAACAATTTCATTGAGTCTAGGAAGAGACCTGATGCATATGGAAAAGTAGCTTATCATAAAGTTGTTGTGCTAAACCAATGCAGGAGAGATATAATAGTTCAATGAATGATGACAGACGAGCCAGCTACTGTGAGAAAAATCAAAACGAGATCCTTCACTTTTTTAATGAAAATAAATTTTATAGAAGTCTAAGATTTGAACCTAAAAGATGAAACTAGAAGGTTTTAAAGGAGGCATAGGCAAATTTACTTATAAACTTATAGTGAAGGAAGACCAAAAATCATAAAAGGGAAGAAGACTGATAAACTTGGCAGCATTAAAAATTCAAAGCTTCCATTTGGAAAAAAATACAATAAACAAAATCAAAAAACAAAGTATTAATAAGTATTTATGACATACATAAGCTATTTTTTTTTCTTTTCTTTTTTTTTT